ATATTAGTATTTAGTGTTTAATGCAAAAATAATCACAGTGAAAAATAGTGAAATTCCAAATGATTTCGTGATTTCTCAATCAAGGAGTGGTAAAAATAATAGGAGGTCAAATGTAACGTCATATTTCAACCTTGTAAGTCGTTTGTTGCCTAGTTATTTTCACTATTCCTTGATAATGTGAGAAATCACGAAAACCTTGGAATTTCACTACTTTGTTCACTGAGTTTATTTTTGCATTCTGTGATTTCACCTTTTTATTGTGATATTATTGCAAGATATATTGATGTGCAACATTTGCAGCAGGATAGAGCTCTTCCTTCAAAAATTGCTTTTTACACTTGAAATTGGCCCGAGAAATATAAATCAAATCTCTGGTTATGGAAATGATTCGAGCCACAGAATATGGGAATTTCCTACTCACTTATGTACGTATGAGGAATATTTATGTCGAGCTTCCTCCACCATGCTACAGTCACTTTTTGAGAAATTATATTTATCACCTAATATTTACCACTAGTCATAAAAGATTTTACAAACTCATTGTGTCCTCTTTTATGTCGTCAGTCTTCACCATCTCAGGTTTTGCTCAGCGAGGCAAATTATACAAAAATTTATGGTGCAGTAAATTTATTTGCAGACTAAGGTCAGTTTTGAATTTAGTAATTACTATTTAAAAGTGGAGCCCAATATTTCATTGTAATCTTACAAATGTAATAATTTGGAATATCTTGAATTACACAATTTTTTAAATAATATAATAGGACCAAAAAATAATTGAAAGTTCAATAATCCACATTACATCCTTGAGTCATCCTCGTCCATCACAACCATCATCTTCCAGTAGTGAGCGCCCTCAGTGATCGATCACATGATAGTTAGGTTAGGCTAGGTAAGGTTCGTCAGGAAACAGGACAAATGTTTCCTGACGCGGGTCTTAGTCAGATGATGACCCGCCTTTGGAGCTTTTGGTCATCTGACATAGTGTACATAAAGCCCTGGACTGCCATTGTATGCTATTAATGCCATATTGCTAGTAGTAGTGACGGACTTTAATTCTGTGCCGCAGAACATGTAAGTGGATGAGGATGGATAGGTCTTCCCTGCCACTCATCAAGATGTAGTCCAGTATGCACTCAGGAGTTTAGTTAATAATCACGTACGAGTCTACACACAGGTATTTTGAAAGATTCCAAAGCAGTTTCGTGTCTCACTTGCATCCTGATATCGGTGTGAAGGAGACATTAGCCGAGAAACCAGTAAAATTGTTACTAGTAGTGAAGAAGAAAAGAATCATTGTGTTCTGGGACGACGTGAAGACTTGGCCGGATTTTATGTCAGTGTTGCAATACCTGTAACAGAGAGGATGTCTTAGGATAACGTTATTGTGAAGAAAATTTGCATACATCTTGTTAATGCATTCCCTTTGAAAGATGATTATTGCTTAGAGTTTAGCATAAAGTAAATACATGATACTGAGTAGGAGCACTGCTGTGTATGCATTGGAGAAACAGGAACAGAGTTAAACAATAGACTACGATAATACCTACAGAGGTTTTACAGTGAGCAGTTAAAAAGAACAGTCAAATGGGTTAGAGCAGTAATCTGCTGGGTTGAATAAATGATCGATTAAGACGAAGTAGTGGTCACTTGGGTTGAAGTAACAGTTGTTTTATTTATTCGGAAAAAGTCGACGCACGTTTGGGATGGGTGAAATGCTCTGGGTGGTAAGTGTATCATCGACTTTGAAGAAATACACAAGTAATCAACACTAAGGAGAGTGAAACTTACGACGACGTTTCCGTCTGACATGGAGTATTGATGAAACAGTTAACATGGAGTATTGATGAAACAGTTAACATGGAGTATTGATGAAACAGTTAACATGGAGTATTGATGAAACAGTTAACAAGGAGTATTGATGAAACAGTTAACATGGAGTATTGATGAAACAGTTAACATGGAGTATTGATGAAACAGTTAACATGGAGTATTGATGAAACAGTTAACATGGAGTATTGATGAAACAGTTAACATGGAGTATTGATGAAACAGTTAACATGGAGCATTGATGAAACAGTTAACATGGAGCACTGAAGAAACAGTTAACATGGAGTATTGTTGAAACAGTTAACGTGGAGCATTGAAGGAACAGTTAACATAGAGCACTGATGAAACAGTTAACATGGAGCACTGAAGAAACAGTTAACATGGAGCATTGTTGAAACAGTTAACATGGAACATTAATGAAACAGTTAACATGGAGCATTGAAGAAACAGTTAACATGGAACATTGATGAAAGAGTTAACATGGAACATTGATGAAACAGTTAACATGGAGTACTGAAGAAACAGTTAACATGGAACATTGATGAAACAGTTAACATGGAGTACTGAAGAAACAGTTAACATGGAACATTGATGAAACAGTTAACATGGAGTACTGAAGAAACAGTTAACATGGAACATTGAAGAAACAGTTAACATGGAACATTGATGAAACAGTTAACATGGAGCACTGATGAAACAGTTAACATGGAGCACTGAAGAAACAGTTAACATGGAACATTGTTGAAACAGTTAACATGTAGCATTGAAGAAACAGTTAACATGGAACATTGATGAAACAGTCAACATGGAGCACTGAAGAAACAGTTAACATAGAGGACTGATGAAACAGTTTAAAATGGAGCACTGAAGAAAGAGTTAATATGGAGCATTGTTGAAACAGTTAACATGGATCACTGAAGAAACTGTTAATATGGAGCAGTGAAGAAACAGTTAACATGGAGCATATATATATATATATATATATATATATATATATATATATATATATATATATATATATATATATATATACAACCATGGCCATGAACGCGTGTTATTTAATCTATAACAACACTGCGACTAGCTGGGGGATCGAACCAGTGTTGTTTCAGCCTCCCTCATGGTGAGCTAAAATTCACAACGCTTTAACCCACTGGACCATACAATCCTACAAAGGTCACACACCCAGCAGAGCTAGGTGTTGTACCGTGATCCGAGAACATATGATGGTGTGGGTGCCTCAGAGCTAATTTCATTCTACTCCCAGTTTGGTGTGCTAGCCTACACAAACAGTATATATAGTACTGTAAGCAGGAAAGAGTTGTATTTAATCATTAATAACACTGCGACTAGCTGGGGGATTGATCCCGTGTTGTTTTGGCCCGTCCATTGGGTTAGAGCGTTGTGATTTTTTGCTCACCATGAGGCGGGCTAAAACAACATGGATTCGATCCCCGGGCTAGTTGCAGAGCAGTTATTGATTAAATACCACTCGTTCATGGTTACAATACCATGTATACTGCTTGTGGAGGCTAGTACACCAAACTGGGAGTAGAATGAAATTAGCTCTGAGGCACCCACACCATCATATATCCTCGGATCACGGTACAACACCTAGTTCTTCTTGGTGCATCATCTTTGTAGGATTGTATGGTCCAGTGGGTTAGAGCATCGTGAATTTTCGTCCACCATGAATTGGGCTAAAACAACATGGGTTCGATTCCCTGGTTAGTCGCAGTGTTGATATATATATATATATATATATATATATATATATATTATATATATATATATAATATATAATATATATATATATATATATATATATATATATAAATGTAATTCTTCGATCAGTTGTAAATGCCAACTTATGATTATCATATATATAATATATATATATATATATATATATATATATATATATATATATATATATATATATATATAAAATATATATATATATATATATATATATATATATATATATATAATATGATAATCATAAGTTGGCATTTACAACTGATCGAAGAATTACATTTTTTTCACCTCTAATTCTTAACTCATGTGTTTATCTAGGGTACATATCCTTACTTACAAATTGCCATTGGTGAGACTGGTGGTCCTGATCTCCAGGAAGTCGACTTTGCAGCAAACACCGGTGTCGCAGCGATTTTCATAGCCGGACATTGAGAAGTTCTTGAAGGTGAGTTTAGGGATGTAGCATGTTGGAGCTTTGATCACATAAATGCATCTTGATTCTGTGGAACACGAGTGGGTAATGAACAGATAATACCTCCATTACCTGTGTTCATGTACATGTTTACATTCTCGTTATTTGAATATGTCATTATTAAATCCTTGGTTTTAAGAATTACATACACACACACACACACACACACACACTCACATACACACCTCTGCCACTGTCCTCTGCCACTCCTCTTCTTGCTCCGTCTCCTCCTCCTCCCCTCCCCCCTTTTTTCCCTCACTTCCTTTCCCTCTCTCTCCTTGTATCCCCTATCCTTTCCCCCATTTCTCTCCCCCTCTACGACTGTCCTCCTTCCTGCTCTCTAGCCCTCTTCCCCTCCCTATCTCCCTCTCCCTCTCCCTCCCTACAACAAACACCCCCCTCCACACGCACTCACACTCACTCCTGAAAATACATAAGCTCTTCTTTTTGTGGCGAAAAAAATATGGGTTACCAAAGAGCAGGACGAAGAACCAAGCATCAGGTGGATGAGCCTGGGAGGGAAGACTGGAAGGCAGAGCTCACAAACAAGGAGGGAGAGTGGGGAAGGAAACTAAAAGCTGGGCAAAAAAATTGGGGAAAAGGATAGCTGTAGACGCGGGAAAAGGGGATTTATAAACCATAGAAGCAAAAGGGCCTAAATCATGCTTAGAAGAGGAACAAAAATTCTGAAACAGCCTGAAAACCAAAGGCCCAAAAACCCCCAAAAACAGGAATTTCCCTATATCAGTAACAAAAAGGGGGAAACGGGGGAGAAAAGGAGCAAATACTGTATTTTAAAGGCCCTATCAGATCCCCTGGGGCCCATGAAAAACGAGGAGCACGCCCAAGAAGAAATGGGGGGGACAAAAACCCAACAAAGGGAGCTAAGTTTTATGTAAAATCTAGCAAAACAACTCATGGCCGGAAAAGCTGGGGGCGGGAAAGACAGACCACTGAAAAGGGTGGGGGGGGGAAATCAGCCGGGTGGAAGAGTTGAAGTAAGGAAAGCTTCAAGGGGAAGGGAAAACTAAATCACCTCAGGGGCGGGGAAAGGACATACAATGGAGAGGTCATTTTTGGTCTATGGGCTCCGGGAAGTTAAAGGGAAAACCATGAGCAAGAAAACAGGAGGAAAAAAAAGGATTGAAAGAAACAGAAAGAAATTGGAAGGAAGACATGACCCAGTTAAAAAATTTAAACGGAGAACTGGGTGGTTTGCAAGGGGAAAAAAACTCCCAGTAAAAATGATTATCAAGACAAAAATCAGTCGAAACAGGATAATCCGGAGAAAAGCACGATTTAAGAAACAAACTGAAGAAACCGGGAAAGTGTCCCTCGATCAAGACAGAACACAAATGAAAGGATTGATACTGAAAGAGAGGGTGAAAGAAAAAAGGGAAAGGAAACGAGAGGAAATGATGGGATAAGCAGGTAAACCCCACCCCAGGGGGGAAGAGCAAACACACCCCCCCCCAAAACACCCACAGAAGGAATCCAACCAAAACAACACCAGTGCACTGAACAATCAAAACCCAAAAAACACTGTCCCCTTTTGTCCCCCCCCCCACATCATAAACCCCCCCCCCAACATAAACCCCCCCATAGGCACTCTGCCCCCCCCCCCCTTAAACAGACCCCCCCCAACCACAACCCCCCCATAGGCCCCCCCAAAGGGCTCCCACCCCCCCAAACACACCCATTCTCCCCCAACCACAGCTTTTAGAGAAGAAGTTTAAAAAATTGGTATCCCAAACCCGAGGGGAATAACTAATAAATGTGGGAGTGGCTGAAAGAACCCAATGAAAACGCCCCAACATCATGGGTAGTCACAAAAAACAAAACTCATTGGAAAATAACAGACATAATCTTTTTCACCGGGATTTCAGATCCGAGGAAAGATAGAAGGGCAAGGGGGAGGGGGGGTTGCACTCTCATTAAAAACCGATAGGAATTTGATGAAATGGAAGGAATGGCAAGAAAAAACAAAGGGTTTAAAAATATTTTGAAAAATTTTTTTTGGGGGCCCAAAGGAAGTCATTGCAGTGATTAAAACCCAATAAAAGAACTGCAGGAGGCCAAAGAAGAATGTGAAGAGAGCAACAGAGCAATGATGGAAAACACTGGTTATAAATTTTTGGGACGGGGAAAACCGGACCCACAGGGGGGTCCTGAAACATGGAGGGGCAAAAAATTTGGGAAAGGGTACGGGAAAAACCCTTATGCTCAACATGTTAGGGAGAACTACCAGAGAGGGGAGGGAAGGATGAATCTGGGTTTTTCACCCTAAAGCAGCTCGGCCATTGAGGACATAAACATAAAAAAAGGGCATTTTGGAGCTAGTGATCTTTGGGGTTCTGACTTTAAATAAAATAGTAAAAGTTACGTAAAAGGGGGTAACAGGAGTAAAAAAAAAGGGCCCAAAACAAAAAAGGGGAAAGACTACACGGGTATGGGGAATTTCCTGCAGGAGGTTCAGTGGGAAAGAGAAAGGAAAAAAAATTTAGTAAACGAAAATGGACTAATAAAAACAAAAATGAAAAGAGGGAAAAGGGAAAGGTTTTTTCCCCAAATTGCAACAAAAAAGGGGAAGACCAGAAAGAACCCATGCTTTACCCGAAGGTGTGGGGGAAAAAAAACAAAGTGCATTAGAGAATATAGAAAGGGGCAGAAGGCAAAGGGACCCAGGAAAATAAAGAGTTTAGTCAAGAGCCAGAAACGAGAAATCCCACAGGAAAAGGCCAGGCCGGATTTCGCATGGGCAAACTAGGCATTTCCCTGGGGCCCCCTGCACTTTTGGGGGCCCCCCGGGGTCCAAGGGGTTAAAGGGGCTCCCCCAAGACTTCGCACAGGGTGCCAAGTGAAAAAAGGGGTCTCAACCAAAAAAGTTCAAGTTTTTGGAGAGTAAAATTTTTTTTTAAATTAATCAAAAAAAAAATAAATAATGAAAAAAAAAATAAAATAAAAATAAATAAACAACCCAATAGAGGGAAAACACTAAACACGCCTTTTTTTTACATCAGAACACCCGTTTTTTTTCCCTCTAATGGGTGAGTGGGGGAAATTTTCCCCCCCTTCCAATTTTCTTTTGAAAATTTACACGTTTTCTAGACTTTTTACTGTAAAAAATTTAACTGAAGTTTTGTTTTGATGACTTTGGTTTGTTTAGGGATAAAGGGTTTTTTTTTCCCCTCAAAATGTTAAGGGAGGAAACCTAAATGGGGTTTTCCCTTAAACCATTAAAGCCCAAAGGCCATAAAGACGCATTTTTGGAAAAAAAACTATAAAAAAAAAACCTAAAAACGCAAACTGCCCTTCTGTTTGTAGGTTTTAAAAGCACTTTTTTCCTGTCTTTAAGTCTTTATCTTTCAATAACAGATCTAAATTTAAAATTGATTTCCCTAAAACACTTCCGTCGCAAATGCTTAGTTTTCTTTTTGCGACGGAAGTGTTTTGAACATAAAAAAAATTTTACTACATATTTCCCCAAAAAACACAAAAGCCACATCAGAAAATCTTTTGGTTTGGGGTTAAAAACTGAAAATTGTCCCTGCATTTTTTAAATTCTCAGGGCCCTTATCAAATTGGTGGTGGGCCCCTAAAAAACCATGCAAAACTTTAATTTAAATTAGTTTATTTTAAAAAACGGTAAAAAAATACCTTTTGTGCATTGTTCTTGGACTCAGAAATGATTTCGGGTTTAAGAAAATTGGAGAAAAGGGAAGGATAAAATTAGTAAAATATTCGTAGCCCAAACCACAAACCTAATCAAATGGTAAAATTTTTCTGTATATGACTCCTTTCTGGAAAAGGTTTTTAAATTTTTTATATGCGCAGCCAGGGGAAAAAGGGGGCTAAAAGGGGCCAACCCCCCCCAATTGACGAAAAACAAAATTTTAATTAAAAAAAAAATAAAAATTTAAAATAAAAAAAATTTTGTATTGCATGTTTACAGACAGTGATGCACCCTCATTATGGCATCTCGTGAACGTGATTTTGGGACTTTTTTTTATGCAAAAGGGGGGTTCACAGAAAAGAAAGAAAAAAAATTTCAAGAAGAAAACAAAAAAAGAAAGATGTGGGAAAGCTGCAGAAAAACACAGACATATCCCACGAAAACATTTTTCTGATGTTACCCTTACATTTTAAAAATTCTGCAGATACGTAAATTCTTTACGGGGAAGGGCCCCACTCACAGGAGTTTTCCCATTTTAGCCAGTGTATTTGTGCACAAAAAAAGGCTTTTGGATTCTCATTTGGAAAATAAAACTGAAAAAGAAAAGCACTTTTTGGAGAAAAATTTTCTAGAAAGAGTTTTTTGCGGTTGTAAAATTCTTAGCTCTAAAGGCCCTTTGTTTCCGTGAAAAAAAAATGGGGTTTTTTTTTTGGGAAAAACCCAATGGCAATTTCCTAGGGATCATAGAACGTTTTGCACAATTCGATCCTTTTCCCCTTTGCAAACATGTGTCACGCCTTGGGGAATTTCAGGAAAAAAGGGAGGGATCTTACAAAGTCATCTAATTTTATACAATGAATTTATTGGGGGAAATGATGACTAAAAAGGGGCCCCAAAAACATCAAAAAGCCCGCTGTGAAAACTTCAAAATACTTTTCAATAAGTGTAATTTAAAACCCCAAAAAATTTTACAACAATCAATGGACAATTTGTTGTTCGTTTTGTCCCACTCCCTTTGGGAAGCCTGTGAGCCTTTTATAAAATTCATTCCTCTTTCACCGGGGGTGGGGGAAACCAAAATGAATGTAGTACTGAAACTCTCTTAACCCGATCTCTCTATTATGGATTGCCGTGGCCAGAGCTACGACAATGCAAATAACAAGTGGGGAAAAAATAAAAATTTTCAACCCGTATCAAGCAAATCAACCCCAAATTGGGTGAATATGTGCCCGCTCAGACGTTTCCCCTTGTTTGGGGCATGGCTGCGGAGTGGGTTTTGGGCCCCTGGGAGTTTTTATTTTTGGCCCTTTTCAACACTCTTTTTAATTTTTTTCCCCTGCTTCAACGCACGGTGG